CCCACACCCACACCCACACCCACACCCACACCCACACCCACCCACACCCACATCCACATCCACACCCACACCCACACCGTTGCTCAAGAATGACTTGTAATTTATATTTTTATATATGTTGGTAATCATTTATATTTCTTTATTGATGGATAAACAATAATACATCCTTTATATTTCTCTAGGTAATCTCAACTTTGGTCGAAAGTAAAAATGTCGAAAACAAAATGAGAGTGAAGACGAAGATGTAAGAGTGAGGGTGAGGTTGATGGAGATTCCTACTTTCATAATCTATCATTTTCGACGTTTCTACCTTTCGATATTTGCATCATTTTCACTTTCGACATTTTTATTTTTCGACATTTTTACTTTCGACCAAAGTTGAGAGAATCTTTCTCTAGCCTTGCATTCTATATATAAAAATTTTTCAGATGAAAAATGAAAGAAATTGAGCCCAAGACCATAATTACAAATTTCTCTTCGCTTAATGATATTCTAAATTTTTCGAATTAATCATACAATTGTTTGGATACAATGGGACTAATTAGCATTATTATTTGGTTATTTAATGAAATTCAAACGATTTATCATATTATATTATCGCCTATACGCGGTATTACACATAAAGAACGATTAGAAAGTTTCTATGCTGGTCAAGCTAAAAATTATGATTTATACAGAAAAAAATTACTTGCTTGTAGAGAAACATTATTAGATAAATTACCATTTGGTGGAATTTGGGTTGACATGGGTGGTGGTACAGGTTTTAACCTTGAATATATGGCAAAATTGGGTAGATTAAAACATTACACAAAAGTTTATCTTGTTGACCTAAGTCCATCTTTATTACAAATTGCAACACAACGAATTAAAGAAAATGGCTGGACAAATGTTGAAATAATAGAAACAGATGCAACCAATTGGCAGCCTAAAGAACAGAAAATTGATCTAGTTACTTTTTCTTATTCTTTAACTATGATTCCTGATTGGTTTTTGGCAATAGATAATGCAAAAAAACTCCTAAAAGTTGATGGTCATATTGGAGTTGCGGATTTTTATGTTTCAAGAAAATATCCTGAACATGGATTCAAATCGCATTCTTGGTTTCGCCGTATATTTTGGATGGTATTTTTTGGATTTGATAATGTTAATCTTTCAAGCGATCATCTCTGCTATCTAAATAGGCACTTTCAAACTAGTGAAATAGTTGAAACACTCGGCTCAGTGCCTTATATGCCTTTTCTAAAGGCACCTCAGTACGTATATATTGGACAAAATAGTTCCACTTTATAGACATATATGTATCCATTTCACATTTCTGAATAACTTGCTCGTATCGACTTTTTAACATGAACTGTCTGGCAGAAGTAGTATTCACGACTATTCTTCATTATTCTGAAGAAAAGAAACAGTTTTCTACTCTCTGTGAAAAAAAATCATTGTTTACTCAAATTCAACGGAGTTCTCTTTCTGCATATACGAGGATTAACTTCAATATATAGGGGCATATGGCCAGCCATTGATCACTCTTGCATTAGGGAAGTTCGAAATCACAAGCATAAAGAAAATTGTCTCTACAATCATCAGTGCCCTATTGATATATTATGGAAGCTTTCACAAGTTCTAAGATACACGCTCCTGCATGTTTGAAATGCCAATTTTCATCCGACCAGTGTCTAAAAACAGATTTATTGACTGTTTTCATCGAAAAAGTATGGTTGTTCACATTGTTACATTACATTTTGTGGAACTTACATATATTTTCGAAGTAAATAGTGAGTGTAAGTTTTAAGGTCAAGTTTTCGCGGCTTTCCCTCCCCATTACAGACACCTTTCTTTACAGACCTTAGCAATCAAGAATAATAGACGCCAGATTTTCTAGAGTTGTTTTTTCAAAATTAATCAAGTTATAATTTTGAAGAGTAATGAATGTCATTATTTGTGAGTAGAGTAATATATATGATAGTGCGTAAGATCTTCTGTAGATATCATGAATATGTAAAACAAACTTATTTCTCGATTATTTCCATGGTCATAATAATAAGAGTGTTAAATTAATAAAAACGAATTAAAAAATGAAAACAAAAAAATAGGGCATCCATAGAAAAAATTTTAAAAAGTCTATTCGAAATGTAGAAATTAGAGGAGTCATTATTCTAGAGGTCTGTTATTCTGCAAAACAACTATAATCTAAGAGAGATTTTTCACTTTGGGTATTTTGTATCAGTAGAATGAGGCTAGACAGCATTTGTGAGTTCCATATTTCAGCCCCAAAGGGGCTGCGCTAACAAGCTTTTTTTTACTTAAGAATAGATAGATCGTCTAATGTGATTTTGTTGTGAGAATAAAACTGACATATTGGAATGATAAAACTGTTTTTGTACAATTCATTGATTAGAAAGAAGATGAATTTTTGTCATGACAATTTGCCATATTAAGTTTTTAAACCTTCCCTAATGAAACGTAAAAATAAGACGAAATTCCATAACGAACGACATTTCAAACCGTTCATTTGACGAAGGTAAGCTCGATCAGAAATGACCTGATATTCTAACAGCTGGTTAAAAAGAGAACGTCTCAACTCGTCACGGTTTTTTTTGACATTTTTGTCGTAACAGGGCTGTCGTAACGAAATAACAGGGATTTCGTAACGAAAGCCCTGTCAAAAAAAAACCGTGATGAGTTGCCACGCTCCCGTTAAAAACTGAGCAGCTTTTGCATATGACGCTTATTTGTGCATTGTTTTGTTTTGTATAAAAATGCTTAACTCTTAGCTACCATTAAAAAAATTCCATGTTTTGAAATTCCGTAATGCTCAGTATTTGTTGAATAACTCTGCTGTAGCTAAAGAGAAATTGATAAACTTTTTACTCATAATAGATCCAAACGATTTCTATTAGTGTTAAAAATTGCACACAATTTGCTTTTATCAATGAGAAATTACAGATGCTGCAATGTGAAAAATGAAATTTCATAACACGTGGCCACCCTCATAACAGAAAAATGAAAGATTTCAATAATAAAAAAATAGAAAAAAATACATACAAAACAATTTA